AAATTATTTACAAATATTTTAAACAATTTTTAATACCCGAGAAAAATGCTTTTTATGCTATGTGTCTATACGCAATAAACACAATATGTCTCACAGAACTCTCTGATTTCGACCAGCGTCTCACACATATAGCATAAAAAGGGCCTATTTCGCGACTTAAAAATTGTTTAAAAAATTTGTAAATAATTTTTATCATCAGAACTCTTTGGAAGGCGTTAGCATACATTCTGTTTAGAATCATATCATTTGCCGCATTTCTGGCACATATAGCACACTTCCAGATCGCCATGACGCTCCGCCGCTTCTCAATCTCATCATTGAGGCGGAGTGCCGTAAAGGTCCCCCTTCTATTGTCTATGCAGACTTAGCAGTTTCTCCGTTCGAATGGGACCATTATCTCGTAAACCATTTTACGCGCCTGTCTGCTATCGATGGTCCCCTGTCGACTCGTCGAGGAAACGAGACCGCTCCCCTATCCCCCCCTCCCACCGTCCGAGGCACTTCCCTGTATGTATTTAGCAAGATTGGATAATCATTCCAGGGGGAGCTAACCCCTGGAATGCGTGTTTCCTGGTACAGAATTATTATCGATGGCACTGATATAATCGGCCCGGGCTCCAGGTATGTCTCGGAAACGGTTTTCCCCCTCCGGAATTTACCGGTGACAGCCGTCGATGGCCCGCGAATCGGGAGAAAGCTCGCGTGTTGCCTTAACCTCGTTAGCCCTCTTTCGAATTTCTTCTACTCGAGGTTACCGGCGGAAACCTTAAGAGGTGAGGTTCGGCTTGGCTGTGAGAGGCTATGCCATTTTCAGACCAAGTGACGCTTCAACAGCCCTGTAACCATGATTCTCTCAAACAGTGATCGCAGTTAATATACCCAACCGGGTCGCCAACGAGTCGGCGATACACGGTTCGCCTCATGGCGGCCCAGTTCGGTTGATCGAGCTAAAGTCCGCTCGCGATGTGTTGCTTTACCACCTCTCACACTTAAGTTGCCTGGCGGCGTGTTGTTTTCCGCGGCGTGTTGTTTTCCGCGGCGTGTTGCTTTTGGACATAGCGGCGACGTGTTACTCCCAACCATCGCCTAGAGGGTGCATCTCCCTCTTTTCGTTATCTATTTATTAGGTAGCAAATACCTTTGAGGCGATTTTTCGGGCACCAACGGATCCAATGGTTGTCAGATCGAAAGTAGGCGCCCATCGCCAGTGTATCCACCCCTCACCGCAGACAGCACAATGCATTGCGGGGTTTCAACGCTTTTAAATCGTCTCTTACAATGCTCGATGCAGGCTAATCGACTGGATGGGGCATGCTGTATGACCCCCAGAGGACCGCTCGGTCACAAAAGCCCACGTGAGCCAATCGGTTCCAGAACAAAGTCACGTGCATGCCTAGAGACGGCCCGTAAGAATCGAGTCCCGCCTGTTGAGACGAGCAGGACGAGCTTAAACACTCCAGCATATGGCGGGGGTTCTATCTGATATTTGCGAAGCTGTTATTGCCCTTATTTAAGCAAGGCTGTATTTGTTTTTTCCTGTTGGCAAGGCTGGCACGTAATGTTTAAGCAAAGCTGTAATTGGTTTTCCATATTGGCAAGGCTGGCTCTTCATACGGTTGGCTAGGCCGTGCGATGGTTACAGCAATCGCCGTCGCCATAATGATAAGATTTACCGAACTAGTGTGAGCAGTCATAGACCGCTTAAGACAGTCATAGGCTGCGTTCCGTTTCACGCATGATGTACATAATGCATCATTTATCCTGGTTTAACACTCGGTGAATAACAAAGATAAATAATGCAGCATGCGCATTATTATGCGTGAAACGGAACGCATCCATAGTTACACCCGCCATGTCATTAGCGCTTACCAGTACGTGTCCTTAATTAGTTGAATTGTTATTTTACATTGTTTCGGATCTATTTCTCGTTTTAATAAAATATTAACGTGACAATTGGGCATCTGTCGTATTTTTCGCAGGGGGAATGCTGCGGGACAGATATAAGTTTTGTCAGTGACTGTACACTCTTTCGTGTCTTCGTTTTGAAGTTCATAATAACTGTCGGCGTCTTCGTCTAATGCTATATAGTCGATGTTGGATTGAATTGCAGCGAATTTATTTAAATCGTAATTTTGTCGAATAGATAATGGCGTTAATTTATATAAATTATATTTCGTCTTCGTTATTAAAGGTATATGTAGAAAGTAAATTAATCGCTTTTGTGAGTGTGCGATGCGTAGATCAGAAATTTTCAGTAATTTATCAATCTCGGTTGGATGCATGGTTATGGGAAATTCTGCGTCTGGAGTCTGTTCATGTAATAACCTTGAGCTTTGAATCATTAATGATGGAGGTATTATTCTCGGGTGTATTAATCCTTGTTTTCCGAATAAAATTCCATCTATGAGAATATTTAGATCCAATTCGTGTTCTAAGATGGCCTTGTCTAAATGTTCAAGTATAATTATAATATAATTCTGTATTTCATTAACTTGATGGTCGTGTGTGATATTGTCTATTGTTTTTTGTAAATGTCTGTACAGTCGGTTTTGATTCATTCGTATATCGTACAGTGCCTTTTCAAGTTCTCCGAAACGTGTTTTTGTTACTATAGTTTGATTTATTAGAAGTGCTGCTAAGTCGGTAGTTTTATTATCAATATGCGATATTGCTATATTTATTGAATGGGCGTATAAATAAATGTTCCGGTTTCAGTTTCGGTTTCTTGACTAGCTTCAAGAAAACCGAAACCGAAAAAATTACGGTTTTAACGGTTTTTATCGGTTTTTGTTTTTTTTTTCCAGTTTTCAGTTTGGTAGAGAAGGAGTTTAAAATTAAAAATGACTATTTATTTATTCTATTTATTTATTCTTTTTTTTTACCATTAATATAAAATATTTTTGAGACGAGAGAGAGAGAGAGAGAGAGAGAGAGAGAGAGAGAGAGAGCGAGAGAGAAAGAGAGAGCTTATTCATCTGTTTTTACTTTTTAGAAAACGCAACTGATAATGGCTCCGGCACACCAGCGCGATGTTAGTCGCGCGCGACACGCGATTTCTTTAAAACTGCGCATTCATTTGGATCAACAAATGTTGAAGATCGTTTCTCTTGTATATGTGATTTTCTGGAACATTAAAATTTTTTAATTATAAAATAAGAAAACAGAAATTTTCGTGTATATATATATATATATATACATATATATAAGTATATTTACTATTTTATGTAAGATTAAAAAACAAAGTAAACGAATGATTTACGTTTTTGTATAAAGGTTATGCGTTTCGCGGGTTTCCTTGAGATGCCGTTTCGTGAACCTTGCAGTCCACGTCATTCATTAGGGCGAGGAGCTGCCTGATACAGTATCAGGCTGCTCCTCGCCCTGATGAAGTGGACTGCAAGGTTCATGAAACGTTGGCATCTCAAGAATGGATCTGGACACAGAGGAAACCTGCGAAATGCATAACCTTTATACAGAAAGCACCCGTGGAAGCCTCAAAAACTTACGTTTTTTCTTTATTACAAAATATTCTATTAGCTCTAACAAGTAATTGGTTTTCCAAAATGTTTTCACTGATGTTTGTTCGTAATGGAGATAAAATAAATTTTAAACCTGAGAATAGTCGTTCTACACTGACTTGAGTAGCAGGTACTGCTAGAACAATCATTGCTAATTTATATAACTCAGGTTGATCTTGTTTCTTCTCTTCCCAAAATTCTAATACATTAATTCTTCTATTAATTCTTTTTTGTTCAGTATTATATCTTTCAAGTTCATTTTCTATTCGATGTAAATATAAATCCGATTCTCTAGATGACGATGAATTCATTAAAGTGTGTTGTTGTTCTTTTAGTTTCAAAAGATTTTCAAATTCATCATATGAAGAACCTGTTCCACTTGAATTAGAAGAATTTCCGTTGAAATTTTCATTTGATTTGTTCATTGAATTTTCTATATTATTACGATTTACTGTTACTATTTTGATCCAAAGATGTTTTAAATGAGTTGTAGCTCTTTGTATTTGTGTATTGTCTAATAATACTTTATATCGAGGATCCATATAAACTGCAGATAATAATATGTCATTATTTATTAACTTTTCTTGGCGGTATACCATTTGTTCAACAATGAGTTTAGAAAAAGGAGTTTGTAGTGCTTCTGTTGCTACTTTTGTTTCAAACCAAAACCCAAAAAATTCACTGAGAGTCAGTTGTTCTTCCTGAAGTCTTTTGGTACAAATTTTTGACGGTCGCAATGCTGCACATATTTCTTCAATTTTTGACCATTCATCATCTTTTAATGTTACGAAATTTTGAAATTTTGTTACAGATAGCTCTTCACAATAATCTTGTAATAATAATAAATTTTCAAGCATATCTATTATAGAACACCATTGAGTTGGACAATCAAGTGTGGGTTTTTTTAAGTTTTGTTTCCTTATTAAATATATAAATGTTTGAGTTCTGAGTTTTTTTGCTAAATTTCTAGCTTTTAAAATTAACTGTGATATAGATTTTGCTCTTTTTAATGCATCATCAACTGCTAATTGCAGTGTGTGAGCTGCACACCTAATACCTAAAATTTTATATATTTTTATGTGAAGTATTGGTTACATTACAGACATTATTATCATGAGATTATAAGTCTTTATTTAATCATGTAATATAAATAAAGTTTATTTTTCATATATTTTTCAAAATCTCGAAAAAAAAATTAATTTATTTAATATTTAGTATTTAATATTTAGTAATTTTGATATACAGTAATATATACTATGTAGTATATATTATATAACATGTAACATTTATATTTATTTTGCTTTAAAAAAATTTAGAATAAAATACAAAAATAAACGAGATGCCAATCATGATGATAGCGCATACAACTATACATTATGAAAAAATATTTAGTTGGTAATGTCAATATTTAAGTCAAATCTTGTTCATCAAATTGTTTAATGATTGTAAGGATTAGACGATTTTTTTATAGTTGTAGTACAGGTTCCATTAGACTGCTCAGTTTAATGAAATTTAAATGAAAATTATTAGATACGACGTAACTGTTCGATAGACAGATTTAAAATGAAACGCATTTTATTTATTTTTAATAAATTGCATGATAAATGCACTTCAAGAACTTGTGTCGGCTCACATTGGCATCTCGTTTATTTTTGTGATTTATTCAACTGAGCCTTTGATTATCTTATATTTTTTAGAATAAAATTACTGATTACAGATTGCAAATTTCAAATTATTAATGATATAAATACGAAATAAACAATAAATATAAATCAAGTATACAAATATTCTTAATTTTAAATTTTAATAATTAAAATTGAAAATAATATAATTATTAATTAAAAAATTCTTACCAGTCAAAGATAAAATACTGGTTTCATTATTAGAAGTTAAATCTTCAATAACATTAATATTTTCGAAAACGCTTAAGTTATCTATTTCATATTCGTTAGCTTCATTTTCTTCTGAATTATAATCAATGTTGTTTTCATTTTCTTCTAAAATATTGTTGTCACAATCTTCATCTTCATATGTTAATATTCTTACTGCTTTTAACATATTGGCGCCATTATCGGTTGTTATACTGTATATTTGATCCAAGGATATGTTAAAGGAAAAGCATACATTTTTAAGAATTGTTTTTATATATTCACCTGTAATATGCAAACGTTTTTAAAAATATATATATATACTTCATTGTTAAATATAACCATAATGTTGATTACCTGTATGTTTCTCTTGTAGTTCCTTTAATGCTAAAGTTCTTAATATAATTTTTGTTCCTTTAATGTATTGAATATTTACTCCAAGAAATGATCTATCTAATCGCGTAACGGCATCGATTTTTAATGAAATCAAAATATTTGTTATATCTTCAGATATTTCTTTTCTTATTCTATCAGCTTCTTCGAATACTTTTTTTTGTATAGATTCTGACGAAATAGAGAATTTTTGTTTATTTTTTTCTTCTATCGCACATTTAATTGGATTTATAATATTTTGAAATCCGGAATCGTCCAACATACTGAATGGTCTTCCATTTACTGTCACCAATTCTACGCAGTTATTTTCGAGCTGTTTTCTCGTCATATTTAATGTGATTATATTCATTTCATTTAATCGCTGTTGTATTATTCTCTGATTATTTTGCAATGTATTGTTTTCCTTACATTTCTTTGAAAAAACTTCAGTAAAATAATCTTCTTTAAATTCATGATTACGCATCAAATGTTTTTTTAAATTTGTACCGTGATTACCCTTAAATAATATATAAAATTAAAATTTTATAAATATGTGTATATAAATAATATATTAAGAATTAGTTTCAATATGCGATATATAGATAAGGAAATAAAAATAATTCAATTTACCTTTAGTGACATTTTACAAATAACACATTCTGATGTATCTTCTATTTTAT